TCATAGATTTGTAGCCCCTTTTCGAAAGAAAGGGGCTCCTCTGAGGGGCGCGACTTTAAGTTTATTTCGCCTTATTTTATAAGTCAACCGAACGTCCGCTACAGCTCATTGAGGTTCAGCCAAGTCGATATTGGTTTCATTCAAAGAACAGGTAAACATATTCAAGATAAAACATCACAGTTGAGGTAGAAGGTTAGAAATACCAATAACTACAATGGTTTGTGATATCCAAAATCAAATGAATTGAAAGCAAAACCAAATACTTGTACCAAGCAGTAAATTCAACAAAGTCCCTAAAAAACAAACCCATTTGTGGGCGTAGGTTGATAATCCACAACCAAGCATAAGCAACGAGCCAAGCGCTGTGGTTAAAACCAGACCGATATAACACAAGAAGGTCATACCAGAGGTTTGTTTTATAAGGATCATCATACTGCATACCATAAGTTAATAAGTCACCGGGAAAGTGGCTACATCTACATGAGAGGCTGCTGAAATCGTATATCAACTTTACTTGATGTCCGTGTAGTCGTAGGGCTGGTTCGGGTGTCTATCACTCCAATGCGAATAGCTAAAGTTTCATGACGACCTGTTCTTCTATTCACATCAAGTTGCTCTTAAATTTTTGAATCTGTTCCACTATTATTAAGATAATATGATGATGTATCGGTTGAAGATGGATGTTGAGATAAGATAGATGAAATGGATTGATTGATGCTAGGTCTACATAATGTGGTTTTTTGTTGTGATGATGAAGATTCAAAGATTGGATTGAATTGATGATGGATAGACTTGATCGAGAGAATTGATGAATTGATGGACGATGGTGCTCAATGATAGCTGGAGATTGGATGTGACTGGATTCTTTGTTGCTCTATTTGACGACCCAAGGGCTCCCAAGGGCGCAGAACAAGTCATACGGGGGAGAGTGGTGTGAATGCGCCCTCGCAAGCAGCCCTAAAGGTCCGACTATGCGAAAATCTGGCTGCTAACCTTCAAGTTTTGTCGGCCCACGCGGGTAATAGTCAAAACCCGAGGGGCGCCGGGGTTCTCCTAAGGGGGCTCGAAATAGTGGGATCCTAAAACAATGACTGCAACTGCCTCAAGGTTAAAAAAGAGAATTGCTCAGTCAGATTCACAGTAACACTTAAACAAATGGTTAGGGTGCTAGATTGTTGAAGAGCTCTGAAATACTTGTCTGTGCAAAACATTTGTTACATGCAGGTGCCATTGCCCAACTTGTTTACCAGAAAATATCCCCCAAGCTTGGGAGAACACTGGCACCCATCCTGTAGTATGTCTGGCACAGGGGTTTGTATCTTTTTCCGCAGGCATGAAAAAGTGGCTCTTTGATCTGTTGTCTGGGAGGCAGTAGTGTTGCTAGGAAGTATGTTTAATCCAGCAAGCACAAAATCCATATCACTGACCTCTGTCTTGAGAAATCTAGGATTTATGTAGGGATTGTCTCCTTCCAAGGACTCTGATAAATTTACGTTAGTCTCACATTCTTGGTGTTGGGGACAAGATGGTGGTGTATTGTTTTTTGAGAAGAGCTGATACATATTGGATCACTTGCATTGCTTTGATATCTTTCTGAAGAGAAAGCTACCTCCTCTTTTGACCGTCAAATTTCTTGATGGAGGCACCGGGCTGTTCAGGTTTTGCGACAACCATAAGCACATTTTGTAGATCTAGATGTACTAATTGTCACAATTTTTTCGCAGTTCCAGAAAATTGCTTTCAAGACTTACACCTCCATCTCACTTTACCTACCAAGTCTTGATAAAAATGCATATCTACAGATCCTCTTTTTGGGAGAATAGCTTTATACTACATAAATAAAATGTGGAAGAATGTGGAAGGCTGAGAATGCCATGTGATCTTACATTTTGTTCAGTCAATTTGATTTTAAGAAATGTCTCTCTCCGTCTGTCGCTTTTTCTTACGAGATCCATCGTACCTCACTCTTGGCTCCTTTGATTTGTTGCGGTTGAGACCATAAATTGCATGCAAGATGCTTACTTCAAAATTTCCACATGGGTTTCTTGGTACCTGGTCTTTGAGCATTTTGATAGATCTTAATAAACTGAAGTTGATTGAGAAACCATGATTCGTTCGTTTTTGGTGGTAATGGGTGGGGTTGTATGGAGCAGTTCAGCATTTTTGTTTCACGGTTGATGCTGAGTCTGAAATTGCATAGATGTCACTCTTGGTACACAGCTTGGGTACACAGCTTGCTATGTATTGTATTGTGCGGGTGAAGATTTGAAGCGTGGGGACGGGGTGAAGCAAAATTCAAGAAGTCATTGTGGTTACTGATTGAAATAGATTGGTCCCTGATCGATCAACTCATTTTATGTTCATCAATAAACATTTATCAAAACTTCAGCTCAAGTCTACTTTACCTCCTCATCGACTTTTGAGCTGTTCATCGATCGGATACAAGAGCCATCAAAGAACACCTTCTCACTCCTATTTCTCACATCTCAACTCTAGCGGTAATCGGTCGACTCGACTATTTAAACCAGCTACGATTCATTCCAAAGCTCAATTTGCATTCACTTCTCAAATGTCTACAACTTCAGTCTCAAAGAAAGAACAGGATGTCAAAATACCCGAATCCGTTGGAAATTTCGACAGAATCATTGACCCATTTCACTTGGAATCCGCTCCTATCAAGGTCGCCAAATGGAAAAGTCGTGAAACTGGATTGAGCGTCGTCTGGGCTGACGTCGATGGTATGTTACAGCATCTATCGTCCCTCATAGGCACCGGCTAAATATGACCACGATCCTTCCTAAAAATGACAGGTCCACTTGTCAATGGGTATTTCACCGGTATGTTTTCATGTTGACATCCAGTGCCTGCGTTCCGTGACTAAAGCAAGGGACTGGCATATCTAGTTGCTACGGAGATTTTCAATGATTCCGGGGTTCCCCACACCCTTGAGCATCTCGTCTTCCTGGGATCAGAAAAGTGGGTGAACAATTCAGCTAAATTGTCCACAAATTACCACTGACTTCTGGCTTCTCATAGGTATCCCTACAAAGGAATTCTTGACAGTCTAGCCAACAGGTCTTTTGCTGCGGGAACAAACGCATGGACTGACACTACTCACACAGCCTATACGGTTACGACTGCTGGATCAGAGGGTTTCTTGAGATTGTTACCTAGTATGCAGTTTCATACTGTCTAGCAATAAACAATGGCAAACTGAATCAGGAAATGATTCATTTTTTATCCAACAGTCTACCTTGACCACAGTGAGTTTTGCAGGTTTTCCTCAGACCCCGCTTACTACTATCGACGATTCGTTACTCAGCACCCTCTTCGCCCTAGTTCTATATGCGACCATCACTTCCGCAGGATTCACAACCGAAGTGTACCATATTAACGGAAAGGGCGAAGATGCCGGAGTGGTTTACTCTGAGATGCAAGGACGTGAGAATAGCAGCGCCGATTTGATGAGTCTGCGGTACGTCATTGCTTGACATTTTATGGACTGGGCATCTTGCTGATGTTTGCGTATCTTCATCCGACATATCAGATCTCAAAGGGAGATTTACCCACCTACAAGTGCTTATCGGAGCGAGACCGGCGGTGAAATGGCCGCATTGCGAGTACTGACAGTTGACCAAAGTGAATTACCTCTCAATCATCAGATTTATAGGATGGCTTGTTGACGTCGTTTGTGATCCTCAGTCCGAAAATATCACAGCGACTATTATCGTCCACACAATATCCAACTGATTGTCAGTGGGAAAGTCGACCCTACAATGCTTTTGAATGTCCTACAAACCGAGGTGGAGCCATCTCTAATCAAGCATGGACAAAACAAAGTTCCTGAGGGATGGAAGCGGCCATTTTTGGAGACTGCTAGTAAGGGTGGGGCAGTTTTGACGAAAAACAAGGTAGTGGAGGTACCATTCCCCGAGAAAGATGAGAGTATGGGAGAAGTACAGATCAGCTGGGTGGGACCAAACACAAATGTAAATGCCTGCATTTAAAGATTTCTTTTATCATCTTTCGAGCTTGCATAACTCACTGATTACTCTTATCTTTCAGGACTACTTGCTACAAGACGCTCTAGATCTGTTGGGGACTTATCTCACCGATACGGCCATTTCACCCTTGGCGAAAAAGTTCATTGGTCAGGCCTCTAAAACCCTGATACCAAGGTCGTATACAACGTGGCTGATTTTCCTTTCGTCTTTTGGTAGAGATTGAGGACCCGCTCTGCACTGGTAGGCTTAAATCATGCTTTTCTCAGGCCGATATTCTCACCTAGCTGGCATGCTGACATCTTTCCGCTATCCTTGTCCGTCCTCAGATATCACTTTTCAGCCAACCGATGCAGAAAAGACTGTGACGTCGGCGTACATTTCGAGTGTTCCTGCTGAACATTTATCGGACATTGGCAAAAAGTTCAACGATGCGCTTGCTCATGAAGCTGATAACCTCGATATGCAACGTATGCAGATGACCATTGAGCGCGGTGCTCTCAAGGTTGCCAATCAATTCGAAGTGGATGCGCATGATACACTTGCGACAACTATCATCTCCAACTTCTTGTATGGGTCGGGCGAACAACTCGTGGCCGGTCTATCTACAGAGCTTCAACGTTACAAGACGCTGGCTGGTTGGTCTAAGGAGCAGTGGTCTGCTGTATTCAAAAAGTTTGTGATTCCGGACCTACACTTCATCCAAATCGAGCTGATCTATTTTCCTACGTGTTATACAAAGATGGCTTGTAGAGAGCCCTAGTGTCACTGTAATCGGAAAACCTTCGGGAAAGCTTGCCGACCAGTTAGCAGCTGATACAAAGGCCCGCTTGGAAGCTACCAAGAAGAAGTATGGTCCTGAGGGTCTTAAACAGTTGCAAGAAAAGCTAGAAGCGGCTCAGAAAGTCAACGATACTCCTTACCCTGACCACATCTTATCTGACTATCCGATTCCTAAGGTCGAAAGTATCAAATGGATTGATGTAGAGTCTGCTCGGGCCGATGGATCCTTGAAAGGTGATCTGCAGACCGTCATAGATGAAAAAGATTCGACGAAATTACCTTACTTCATTCAATTTGACCGTCAGTATTCATTCTTTTTGTTGACCAGGCTCTTGAAGACTGATCTTCTATCTACAATATGCTCCATGTGATACATAATAGATGTCGAGTCCAACTTCCTCACACTGTCCATCCACTTCTCCCCTACCGACTTGCCAGCTGAGCTCTTCAAGTATCTCTACGTCTATCTTGCTTCGTTTTTCTCCTTACCAGTCAAGAGATCCGATGGCACCTTGCTTCCATTTGATCAAGTTGTCAAGGAGCTCGATATGGAAACCATTGAGTATGACGTACGGATGGGGCCTTCCATTAGTCAGACTCTAGAAATTTATTTCAAGATTGAGAAAACCAAATACTCAACGATGATTGGTTGGCTTAAGGATCTCCTTTGGGGAAGCAAATTTGACACTGACCGGTGAGTATGCCTATTCAATAGAGAAAGAACGATTACTGATGTAGGGTTACTCTGCCTCAGTCTTCGAATCACCGTCGCCAAGGCTTTACAAAATATTCCATCGATGAAAAGAGATGGAGACAGTGTCTCTGCTGCATTGTATGAGGAGATGATCTATTCGCCCGACTTAGCACCGGCCATGTCGACTAATCTGTTCAAACAAGATGTATGGCTACCTTCAATCATGGAAGAGCTTAAATCACACCCTCAACAAGTCATTGAGCATCTAGAGAAATTACGCACCCATTGTAAGCTATCTTCATTACTCTCATTACGACACGAAGGAACTGAAGATCGTACTATGTTTCGCTGATTTTGAAAAGTGCTGCAACCTTCCACTATGCGTCTTAGCGTTGCGGGAGACATGAAAAGTCTCAAGGATCCCAAGAAAAGCTGGTCGGAGCATTTCCAGAAGATTCCGGTATGAGCTACCTCCTGTCGACTTCACTTCATTTCCATTCTAACTGTCTTTGAACACCACATAGGCATCAACATTGAAAACACCGCTGTACGGTAGCGATGCGCTCAGTGCTGATGGTCTTAAACCATCTGGTAAAGCAATTGTGATAAGCATGCCCTCGATCGAGTCCAGCTTTGCTTATCATGTCGCCAAAGGTACATCAACATGAGATGCGTCTTTGCTTTTCACAAGTGTACTGATATCGATCATTGGACACTTCAGGGCCTCAGGGTTACAATCATCCGGATCGACCGGCTTTGACAGTAGCTGTCAGTGTACTCAACGCGTTGGAAAGTTACCTCTGGAAAGCTATCAGAGGAACAGGGCTTGCTTATAGCGCTTCCATGCGCGCAAACCCTGAATCTGGACACGTTTCTATCAAGATCTACCGAAGTCCGGATAGCTGGAAAGCTTTTGAGGAAGCTGGAAGAGTCATGAGAGATTTGATCAGTAAAAAGGTGATTCTACCTCTGAAGATTCCTTCTTCGTTATTTGAAGGTTACTAACGAGGTTTTCTCTTCTTTATGCTTGGTCTGCTTTCATAGCTCAAATTTGACGACTTGACACTAGAGTCGGCTAAGAGCAGTCTGGCATATGCTACCGCAGCACAAGAATCGACTGTGGGAAGTGCGGTAAGCTGAACGTGTTTCTATCACATCTGTGAATATATTGGTTCCTGATTTCAAGCATGAATCTGTAGGCGTACTTGAGCTTTGTCAACATGGCACTCAAGGGAGTCCAGAAAGATGCATCGAGACAACTCTTGAACAAAACCAAGGTCAGGAGTTTATTTTGATTTCAGCCTTACCTCTATTTCGGTTACCAAACGGCTTACGTGTATGTTGATAATAGGACATCACCACCGATCAAGTGCTCAAGTCGATCGAGAAGTATTTCTTACCGATCTTTGATGCACGTAGCTCGGTGGCCGTGGTGGCTAGTTCGCCGAGCAAGGCAGAGAGTACTGCATCTAGTCTTAAAGCGGCGGGTTATCAAGTTGAACAAAGGGAATTGAACGTTACAGCTGAAGAAGATAGTGGGATGGATAGCATGTCTGTCACTGATGAAGAAGATGCTTCTAGTTCACCGGCCCCCGTCTGATACACTCATCCACTTGTCGACACGCCTTGACATGTGATATGGAATTGATGATGTGCTATGAGCGGCGTCATGAGTGATTTCCTCTGTATATATATAAATAAACCCTTGGGTCGTCTGAAAGGTACGAAGGTGGGTCAAATAGAAAGACCCCCTCTGTCTTACTACTATTGATAGAATTCTTGTTGGTCAACATGTCCTAGGGCGATAGAATAAGTCATCATGTATATAGAGTTGCAACTTGTTTGAGATTTTGAAAGACTATCAACATGTTTGAATACCATATGATCATTGAGGCTACACTACACGATGTTGCTGAGTAAGATCTATATATGAGTCATCAATTTCGAAAGAATTGGTGGATTGTATATCAATTCACATATGATTTTGCTCAAATACCATTTTGGAATGAGTTGCTTGCATTGTGTGAATATGTCGGCTTGGAGTGAAGTTCAACTACATAGTTGGCTTTGTGAGCCAATTAGGGTATACAAATATGTTCTGGGAATTTCCAGAAGGTTTTTTCCAGAACGCCAGAACCCTTCTGGCATTCGGGAAAACACAATCCGAAATCTGCAGCCGTCTGGATCAAGTGATCGACGGTGATCCCCCACCTTCAGCCAACCAAGCAGCCCTCACAAAAATCCAATCGTCACACCGTTGGCCTTTGACTTTCAAAACCTCGGCCCTTAGAGCATCCGCAACCGTTTGCGTTAAATCTGGAGTTAGTTAACTTTAGGTTAAAGATCTTTAGCCGGAGCTAAGTAATCTGACACAAAATTCCACAGTGGCTGTCTTTAACTCCAAGTTAAAGAAAGCTAAACTCCAAGTTAAAGACTGGGCCTACAGTCGTCAGCTCTAGCTTGGAGCTAAGCTGTCCTCACTTTTGAAGCCAACCCAATTGGTCCTTTCTGATTGTCTGTGTTCTCAAAAATGTTTGACTTCGCATCTGATCGACTGTTTTGTTTTCATCAGAGGCCCCTTTTATAACTTTTCATCACATATTTATTCTTTACAAGTGCTCCTGTGTTTGTATATCATCCATCAATGTGGGCTCGATCTTTCCCTTTTGATCAATTACCATCTTCTAATTTCGATCCCACACATCCATTACTCAATCAATTCCATCATGAGCATGTTTTTTTGAACAACTCTATTATCATCTAAGATAACATGCAACTAATTGATTGAGATCGATGCAAAAAGAAAAATGAAACTGAGGTGAAACTTGAAGTGGGAGTCGTGGACAAAGAGGTAGCAAAGCTTCAAGTCGGGATCGAGGTACATTGGTGAAGTCGTGTAGGGTTGGTGAGTGACTTGATGTGTGGAAGTGTAGTGTGGTGGGTGTTGTGTTTTCAAAATTTGAGGGCACGGAGTTAGCTACCGCGTCGGTAGGCTGGGATAACTTTGTCCCAGCCTACCGATTTTTTGTCGAAAAGCTAACTAACGATCGGTTGAAATTTGACCATTGTGCAAATTTTGAGATCGGTAAGTTAAATACTTAGCTATTCTCGCGACTTAGGCCCCGTTTGGTATAGCTTTTAGCTTTTATAAATACATTAGAAATTAATAGATTATGCATTTAGGGTACTCAAAGTATGTCTGGTACCGTTAACTGGGCGGACAAAAAAAAAAAGTTGGTATTCGCCCCCCCCCATCGGATTTGATTGCTTTTTTTTGTGGCTGGATAATAATTAGATAAACCTCGTGGTGTCTGCTCCACAGG